GAAGCATAAAAAAGTTCTATTCAAATATGCGTCTGCACGCACCTTTGCACTGCAAACGAGAACGAAAATAATTTTTGCTGTTTTTATTATTTTTCCCAAAAGTACTTTACTGAGAGATTTCATAATTTCAAATAAATGAAGTGCTGAAGAGCATCAGTCGTGCTGCAGAAATCATACTTATACTTATAGTAGTAGTTCTCTCCGGTTTACCAAAACTGGAGAGTGACGAATCGAACAAACAACTTGCAAGAAATAAATATACTAGCATAAACATATAAGGATACATGGATTCGTGATAATGCTAAGTGTTTCGATGTTTATGCAAAATTTATTTCACACGAATTCCCTCATAAATCCTATTTACTTGTATAACTCTATAATATTATATTATTATTCAAATTTACAACATTAATTGTCTATCACTAGTGAGATCCATAAATGTCTATAATATAAGTGGAAGACAAAGGTAGTTGTCTTAAAATCATCCATTAAATACACGATACGAAATTAAGCAAGCTACCTCAGTACATCCTTGGAAGAAGCTACGGTGCACTTACTGATAGATCCCCACAAGGTTTCTGGAATTGATTTTATCTTCACAATGAATAAAAGATTGTGTCATCTAGGTTTGCCATATTAACAACAAAGCCATATTTAGGGGCTTGAAATGACTATGAAAGATGGATGTTACATCGCTATCATCTAAACTCGTACAAACTGAAGCTGGGGATTTGAGGAAAATTGTGCTTCCATCATTTCCACGGATCCAAAAATAAATTTAGTTTAGTGTGTGGAATGGCTTATTGGTTAATTATTCATTTCTGCTTCAGTTCCGGTATCAAACTCTGTGAGTATTTTTGAAGTTGTCATACTGATTCAGTCCGGGTCAATTTTGATCAGATGGTATTAGAGATAAAAAATTTATAGAATGAAATATGCCATCTCTTGGCACTTAATAAACCAGATAAAAGTAGGATTAAAATCCCAATTAAAAATAATAATAATCATACTAAAGGTCAAGCAACATTTTAGCTCTTTTGTGCTGTTGTTGTATTTCTTTCTTAACACTGAAATTAGCTGACCAATTTCTATAGATGAAGGAACAAAACAAATCCCAGTTAATGTAACTATTGAGTTAATTAAATTCCAATTGTTACCTTTTTATGATTTTGAAATGCAGATTGACACGCCCACTTGCAAAGAAATGAATACAGTTGTATGAACAGGAATTGCCAACTGACGATGAACTTACCTACATACATGTAGACATATGTGTACATATGTATGTGTGAGCGAATTTCGGGAAGACTGCATAGATAAAATCGTAAAAGTTACTATATGCCAACAACAACAACATGCAAACACACACACTAACAATACCATCAGCAGAACTGGATGCAAAGGAAACGAGCAAAGTAAGAAAAAATAATAACGAAATGACAACATTCGAATAACATTCAAAAAGAGAACAACAAAAATAAGTAACTTGCTTACCCGCAATAATAGAATAGTAGCTAGCGGGCTAGAAGGGATGGAAGTGATGCGAAATGTGAGTGAAACGCGCCGGCAGAGGGTAGTTGCAGTGCTAGTGCATTTTTGTAACAACAACATAATTGAAATTTGAAAAAGTCAAAAGAAATGGGAAACAGTGAAAAATGCAGCAACAACACAACAAAAATAATAATGAAACAAAAACAATACAAATTGCCAAAAGGATGTGCAGCGCATTGGAAACGAAACAACGAATTGGAAGAGTTCGCAAACAGATATTTTGGCTGACTGAAAAAAACATTTGGAATAAACAAAAATTTTTAAATAAAAATAATTAATTTGAAAAATGAATGAATTCAATTATTTAGCTATCAAATGAAAATGCGAAACATTTGCTAACAATTACAAAAACAACAAAAAAGCATGTAAAAATTTGTTTAAAACTTATTTTTATACTCTAACCTTTGACAAAAAATGAACAACCAAAATTTTTTAATTAAAAAATGTTAAAATTATTTAATTGGAACAACTGTACAGCCTGACAACAAAACGGCACAGAGAAACTACCAACACCAACACCAATTTTGACACCAACAACCTCATGCAACTCCAAATCGCTGCAACTATCGAGCAAACTGCGCTCAGCGTTGACAGGCAAAGTAGGTGACTTCATACAAATGAGATCGCATACAAACATAAATACTCATCTACATACATACATACAAGTATAAGCAATGTTAGTAGCGTTCGCTGTATTCCGTTCGAACCGAGCTACCAAACCTCCATCAAAAAGCGAATGACGCAGCAAACGAACCAATACAATCGCCCACCGGCAAATAAAGTTGCTTGTATGTGTATGCGCGTGTCTTTTTGTGCTTGTGTGTGTGTGTGTTCAGTTGACTGTGGTGTTGCGGGAAATATGTCGCACACGCTGGAATGGGAACAAAGCGGGATGCGAATGCTGAAAGAGGAAGAAAAAATGGAACAGCGCACAACGGCTTCCATACATATCTTGCGTGCTTGCATGCATACACACAGCCATACATATCAACGCATGCAGCACACAATAATAAACCGAATCAACGAGTAGATGAAAGAAGTGTTTACAGTGTTCTATTTTCAAATTAGGAACGCTTTAAAATTTTAAAGAGTTTTAAATATTTTTGTTTTGAAAAAATTTTAGGTATACTATTTTAATAAAATTTATATAAATAAAAATGGTTTTAGAAATATAAATATAAATTTATCATAAACATGAAATATTCAAAATTCATATTGAAGTATTTAGAACTAAATTTGATTTATATATTACATTTACTATAAACAAGGGGTACTCAAACAGCAAAATAAAAATAAATTGGATCGGGTGGCCCACAAAAGTCGCACGAAAGAACAAAGTACAAAGAGATTAAGAGGTCGTCTTACTACACGCTCAAATTTCGGCCTTTTTTGACCGTAAATTACAAAAACGCTACATATGATATTTACTTATGTTTTTTTTACACTGAACAAAGTGTATTAAGTTTAGCAGAAATTTTGTAACACCCAGAGGGAAATGTCCTAGACCCTAAAATATATATATCAGCTGACCTGCTGAGTCGATTTAGCCATGCATGTCTGCCCGTCCGTCTGTATATATGCGCACTAGTCCCTTCAGATATCGATCTGAAATTTTACAGCCGTCCTTTTCTCAACAATAAACTGCATTTGTCGGAACGGTCGTTATCGGACCACTATAGCATATAGCTACCATACAAACTGGAAGATCGAAATCAAGTGCTGGAAAACTGGAATTGGACGAGATATTTTCACGGAATTTGGCATGACTTATTACATATAACAAAAATGAATAATAAATACGAAGAAATTGTTCAGATCGGATGACTGCAGCATATAGCTACAATACAACCTGGACGATCGGAATCAAATTCTTGTACGGAATAATTTGTATGTGTGAAGGATATCATAATTTGTATTACATCAAAACTCTGTCATTGACACGTTTTTGAATGCATCGCTGCTAGTGCGACATATTCGACTTCTAAGCAATAAACTTCAGCTTCAGAACCTTGAAACAAAAAATTTTTTTTTACTTAACTTTAATAATCCCAGTTATGACTCGATACAGACTTTTTTGAATATTTAAAAATCTGACAAAATGCCAACGATTTACAAAAAGTATGCAGGTTTTTACCATGCTTTTTATGCGACTAAACGGTCAGCTCGATATCTTGTAAACCAATAAGCTTGAAATCAAATCCTTTATAGGCATATTTCAAGTTATATCTTTATTAGAAATATGCAAAAAAATCAACTTTTGCAATGGTTGTCTACCTTAACCATTTTAAGGCAAACATTCACGGATTGGGCTTTGCTTTTAAAAAAAATTCACTTTTGAGTTTTCTAAGTTTTTATGTGTCGTTCAAACTTAGTCATAATATCTTATTAAAAAATTAAAAATAAAATATTTTTGGTATTTTTTTATTAATAACAGCCGAAAAACACTTCAATTTCAGGCCTTTAGACTACAATTAAGCTAGTAAAAAATCTTGGCATATTTGGGTTGTGAAAATCTACACAAACAACTGAATGTTTTTGAAAAAACTAAAAATATTTATTTTCTTAAAATTGCTATAGTAATATTTTCTAATAGCTCTTTGTATATTTCATACATAAAATGCTTGCTTTTTGGCACAGACTTAGTTATTTAATTTTTTTCACATAAATTTTATTCATTTTTTCCAGACTCGTGGTTTTTTCGGTTATCGAGATAAACCGTTTTTTACCCTTGAAAACTCAACTATCTTTCTTCAACTTCAAGACCACATTTCGCACGTAAATTATTATTCCTATAATTTTGGTTATATTCTCTTTCTTTAATGTGTAAAATAAATTATAAAAATTTACACATTTTAAGTAAACTGCAGTGTTTCACTAATTATGTCCCACTGTACCGAAAAGGAAAGCGCCAACTGCTGCTGTCCAAACTAGAACATGATGAACAAATTCACAACAAAATCCAAATAAAAACATACCAAACTATAGAAAAATCAGCAAAAACAAGCGAATGACAACAACAAAAAACGAAGCACACATACACACGCATTGCATGATAAATGTGGAACACGGGAGCGAAAAAGTAAGCAAACCAATGTTTCAAATATTTCACAACATTCCCATACCAAAAGCGCCAAGCAACATGTTGCGCTGTAGGGATGCATTGCCAGCAACAAGTTCGACAGCGCGTGTAGGGATTAAATGTTGTAAGAAGTTGTGTAGGAGAAACAACAACAACAACACACACACACACAAAGTGCGTAAATATTTGCATGTATTTGTTGTTGCCTTATTGAAGACGAAACTGCTGCGTGTGAAGGAAGCGGAGCAACACAGCGCAGAAAATCAAGTAAATGCAACACTGCACTTCATGCAACACACAACATGTTGCAGAAAACATGTGTGACCGACCAATTAGCACGTTGCATTTGCGGCGCTGCAGCTATGGGCACAGTGTGACATGTGGAACAGGGGTTGGTTTTGGCGTGCGACCGTTCGCAGCGAACAGTTGTAGTGTATCCTTCGAAGGGGTGAAAAGTTGTTTTTCACACACTTTGGCACCGTACAAGCGAAGCGGCCTGTCGTTTTTTGAATTTGAATTTTTTAACAACAATTGCCGTCGTTCATATAGTCCTCATCGCTCTCTCTCTTTCACTCTCTCTCGCGCTGTCTACATCTCGGTCAAAATATATAAACATACTCGTTTACTATTTTTATAAACAAAAAGAAAAAAAGTTCAAATATTATTACAAAAACAAAAGCAACGCAAAAAATTTGTTTGTTGTAACATTTTTGTGAGCGTTTTGTGTTCAAAGTTCCAAGCTAAAAATTGTTCTGTAGTGTTACTAATGCCAGCAAAATGAAAATGAAGAAGAAAATATAAACAAATAAATAATTTAGCTGATGACACATAGTGTTGAAGATAAAACAACAATAAATAGTCTATGGTGAAATGGTGCATATCCAAACAAACAAATATACAATAGTGAAAGTGCATTTGATTTCGTGTTTTTGGAAAATTCAAACACAAAAACTGAAAATGTTCGTCGCTTTATGAAAACAGCATATAAAAATTAAAACAGTTTACAAATAAAAACAACAGCTTACTAAAAACAACAACAGTTTACAAATCGAAGGATAACACGCCACGGCAAACAAAAGTGCAAAGCAGCAAATAGACTGCCAAAAATTCTGAAATTTATTTATATTGAATTCAAAAAAATATTTTTCTAGTTGGAAAACGCATAAAAAAAGTGTATAAGAAGTTCACAAGCCCAGTGCAAAGTTGTATTCCCCTTCCCATACCTTTTTTAAATTTCCGTTATTGTGTATTTCGGTTTCCCAACTCAATAAATATTATAATTCCCTTTAAGTAAAAAAAAAACAAGTTCGGTGCGTAAAGCGTTTAGAAACCATATAAAAACGCTTGGTTTATGAAAATTATAAAAATCAGACAGTGAACAACAAATGGATTAAGAAAGGTTTGTAAGCTAATAATGTAGATTAAATGAAAAAAATATTATTTTGCCATGAAAAAGAAAAACAACTAAAAAAAATTATTAGAAATAAGATATATGACCCCCAATGTCTAGAACATAGAATTTATAGGAAATATTATATATATATGTATTATATATATTAACAATAGTTGCGTTTTCTTTTCGTTCTCAACTGATTTTTCTCCAAAGTTAAAGTACTGAAAATTAAGAGGTTCCGTGCTATGGTTTCGTCAATTTGCGTCGAAAATATTCAATGGCAACTTGATCTAAATATCTAGATGATGTTTTCAGTTCCTAAAACGCATTTTTATTGCGCTTTCAAACTACGAGTAAATCCCGTAATAACTCATTCGTCGAAGAGAGCCTTTAATAAACCTTTTTAGCTTTTTCGCAGTGTTTTTTCATATAAAAAAAAAACTAAAGTATTTACTTACCACAAAGAAAAAAAAAAACTGGATTAAGAACATTCATTTAAATGTAAAAAGTCTCCTTCACAAAAAAAAAACACAATATACCTTCGATCCTCTTGATTTTCATTCCTTGTCCTTCTTTAGCTTCGTTACTTTAAAAACTTCGGTTATGTTGCTTATTTGTTTATCTTCTGTTTTTTGGAGACGTAGTAAACTCATGTTTTGACAGTTAAGAAACTTCGCCAGTTTTCGTAGAGTTGATCTATGTGACAAGTTTCCAGAAAGGTACCCCGTCGCTGAACATAGTTTTGTCTTGCACTTCGCTTACATCAGAAATGGTAATATGGCTATAAAACAATATTTTTCCAAAATATGCTACGAGAACAATATTTTATAATAAAAAGGGGAATAACAAACCAGACACAACAAATGATCAAAAAATTATACGCTTTTTATTATAAATGATCAAAATGCTGTTGAGTTGAATAAAGGTTCCGAAGCATATAACAAAATTTCATTTAAAATGATATTTTTTGAAGATATCGGATAACTAAAATAATATATTATATTGATCAACGTCGAAAAATTTCAAAAGTTATCAATTTGTTTAAAAATAAAGATGCTTGTAGTAAATTATAGCCCGTTAAAAAACAATAATTGCAATTGACAATTTTCTTGGAGGAAAATAAATTGAGTTAAGGCATAGACCTTTAGTAATTATCTTAATTTTTAACAGATCAAAATTAAATTCTAATTTAAAATTAATTGATTTCTAAAATTTAGTTGACGCTTTTTAAAAATATGGTTCCGAAAACTCCTATATCACAATTTGGTGGTGTTCACGGCATTCCTATGACTGCGTCTGCTTTGGCTTCTTCCAAACAAATTCTTTGTTGATCCAAAAATGGTTAAACGTAGGTTTTTTAAAGAAAATATTAATATATTTTTATACATAATTTTATGATCTACAATTTTCGTTGACAGTTTCTTCTCAAACTACTATAGTAGCTTAGTTGTTATGATTGATACAATTTTTAACTGAATTGGAAACTTATTGATATTCTAACTTTCGGCGAGCCAGGAGACATATCCAAAACTGGCATTAGCCGTCTCAATAAATTTGTGATGAGCTTCGAGGGCTTTGTAGATTTGTAACGGTCTTGTGAACTATTATATGGGAATTTTCGCTAACACAACGGACTATCGTTCTAAGCTGTCCAACTGAGGTCCCTGTTAGAATCGAACTCATAATCTAACCTAAACTATTCAAATCATCTTTTCAGATCTTATTGACTTATAAACTGTATGTTTTATTTTGCGAAATAATAATATTTCTTTAAAATTATTGCATTATTGATAAAAGTCCGCGCGTAACTTTTGTGAACAGACTCCTTATACATCATGAATAAACGCTCGAAATAGTAAACTGAGAGAAATATTATAACCTCATTTTATATGTATAATTTCCGATATTCGTCTAAAACAAATTAAAAACTGTTTAAAATTGTTGGTATAGGTGATATATTTTCCAAATACTTAACTTTTGTCAGAAACCTCATAAGTCTTTTGAATTATTTGAGATAAATGGAAATTTTTAGTCCCTTCAATCGATACTTCATTTCTAGTTCTGGCATGAGGGACGTTTAAAAACACCAAAAATTATCGGAAAGGCACAAGTTAGAGACCAAACACAGCCATATACAACAACAGAACTTCAATATATAATATAATTAACCAACAACTTACATATATTTCGCTTAGAATCTTTTAGCTCTTAGGCGCTTTTAAACCGAAAGTGATGCAGCTGAAAGAAAACACAGGAAGATTAAAGCGGTAGAAAAGCGTTTTCTCAATGACTATGGTTTATTTTTTTAACTTTAAATTAATATAATATAATTTATTGAGAATATTTTATACATACATTTCAGTACGCACTATAAATGTTTCGAACAATTTCTTTGAAAAGCAGATAACACATATTAGTGACCCTACACTGCAGTCTGGAAGCCTTGATTTTCACGTGAAATCAAATTTCCCAAAATTTCTTTTATATAATGAAAATGTTTCGAATTTCAGTTCATATATAGCGCTATGCTATTACTATGCAGAAAGTATTTTTCAATTTTCAAAACGATTGGTTAAAAGTTTTCAAAATACAAATTAGTATGTACGCAAGTTCCAAAAAAGTGATTTTGAGAAAAATTTGTTTGAAAGAATCTCTGATTCTGGGCCTAAAGAAGAGCAGCTCACAACGAGTCGGTATTCTTATATAAAATTTTAGGAAAATAATTTCGAAACGTTTGCTGACAATTCATTAAATAAAATATTTTTTTTTTTTTAAACCGTCTAACCGAATTTCTTTAGTTAAATAATAAACTGCAGCACAAATAGTATCAACTTTTTAGGCAAATCCTTTAAAGAGTATACATTCTTTTATGCTAAAGTTGATATTTACATATTTGTAAATATTAGTGCACATGTACATAGCATACATATAGATGTATTTACATATGTATAGATATAATTTAATTGACTGATCTGTATACACACATAACATAGGTGTACTCTGTCTCTTTTTCACTAAATAAATCCTGTTCAAATTTATAGGATTATTATAAAAAATATTTAAATGCTTGCTTTTATATATGTATGTATGCATGTACGTGTATGTATGTATTGATGAACATTCAAGGAAACAAACTAAAATACTGCATATGTATGTACAATAAAAAGTATTAAATCATGCAAAAATAAACAAGATGACACATTTATATGTGCAAACACACACACACACACCGACATAAACGGAGATAAACGCAAACGAAGTCAGCTGCCGGCAAATGTGCGCCAACAAACGGTACACACACACACACACGCACACAAAGGCAGTTGTTGTTGGTTTGCTGGTGTGTTTGTGTGCGCAGCAGTTGAAGCAACAATCAAAGTCACATTTCGGACATAAATAAAGGCAGCCGATACAATTTGAAAGCAAAAACAAAAAAATAAAAAGTAAAAGACAGCAACGCAAAAAGGAAGCGAAAAAAAACTAGAAAATTCAAAGCTCAAGCAGTGCACGGCCGAAGAATGAAAGAAGGCCTGTTGTGGAACGGCTGTTCGCATGCGTTGGAGCAATGCAAAAAATAAATGAAAAAATTATATATGTGTATGTATATGAAAACAACAACAATATATACAACAACAACAAACCACAACAATATATATATATGTATATAAACAACAACAACAAATATATACAAACCATATTAATATATATACAACAACAACAAAAACTGACTGGAAAAATATTGCAAAGGCAAGCGACCGACGTGTAGCACAACAAAAGCTAAATTTTTTTAAGCAAAACGCTGAAATGCAAGCCTGAGCTTTGGCCAAACAACAAAAACACCAACTAAAACCAAAAATATACTCGTAAAAAGCGGAAAAGATTCTGCGCGCACAGGAAGAGGAAAATGAAAACAAACCGCTTTGGAGCTACAAGCAAAAACCCAAACGAAGGCGAAAGGCAAATGAGGAGACAGCGAAATAAAAATAAAACATAAAAACAACAACAACGACTACGACGACGACGAAAAAATAATAAAAATCATAAAACACGAAACGACAACAACTTGAAGATAATCAAACAATTTGCTACCGTTTCTTGGATAAATGCGAGTTTGCGCGCCAGTTGCTGCGCTATGCTGGTAGTTAATGTCGTTGACGATGACAAAGGACAAGCCAGACATACATATACGTATACACACATATAGACATACAGACAGACATGCACACTGATGATGAAGCAGCGCGGAGTAAATTTGGACGCTGATGTGCCGCACATCATAAAGGCAATCATAAAAGTGAGTAACCGCAACGTGCAAACGACGACGGCGACAAATGTGGCACAAACAAGTAAAAACGTTAACTTTTGTTGTATTGAAGTTATAATGCCCTTCACAGATGCATTTCTTATAACATAAGAAGATCTTTATTTTAATATTAAACGTTTAGTTTGACGCGCAGCAACATACATACAAGTATATGTACGCTATAGTGGTCCGATCTGAAACATTTCTTTGGAGATTGTAGCATTGTTTTGGTTAATAAACTGTGGCAAATTTCGTGAAGATAGTTGATGAAATAAAAAGGCTTTCCATACAAGAACTTAGCTAAATTTTGATTGATAGTTTTGTATGGAAGCTTTATGTTATAGTGGTCCGATAACTGCGGTTCCAACGAATGTGCAGAGTCTTGGCGTGAAAAGTGACATGCAAAATTTCAGATCGCTATCTCAAAAACTAAATAATGGCAATGCTTATTAATATACCCTGTTCAGGGTATAAAAATACAAGTATTTATGTATGCGTGTATGTTTGCAACAAAAAGTTGTAATGCCGTTGCTGACAGTGAAAAATCAACTAAGAAGACAGTTAACAATTGTGAGCGCCATTATGAGCACTTGCAGTTACACCAACACATCCATATACATATATCAATATATATACACACACAAGCATATATATAAGTGCTCTCAACTGACACCCGCGCCTGCGTTCGCTATAAAATTTTGGC